TGTGCGATTTAAGAGCCTGTACAATTATTTTCAAATTACGTACTTAGATGTTATGACCCCTTTCAAACGTCATGATGTCAGATGCATGATGATATTGATGAGGCAGAGATATCTACTTCCTTCTCAAGCTTTTCTCCCGCTTCGAGTAAAATTTTCGATTGCAAAGAAGTGTTAATATGTGATAAAATCTTTGGATAACGTATATTTAAATATCTGATGGTTGTTCAGAATATTTGGCAATTCATAGGCCCCGACATCAACATAAAATCGCATTTTTCACGGTGTTCCTAACACCGTAAGTGGCCGTACGAATTAGCGCAAACCCATGCCCTACGCTTTACGTCTTGCTTATTTGATCTGAACAACCAGAACTTTATGAAGATGCGCTTGTTGTAATGTTGTGCTAAATCACTACTCAGATTAATCCAAGCATATTGAGTTTATGTATGTGGATTGTGATATGCGTTGTGTGTCGCTTGCATGTGCGGTACACTGCAACTGCTTTCCAAAAGACTTTAACATCAACCGTGCTTTCCATTTTTATTAGACATTTTCAAGTGCCGTCTAGATTTTTTCATGTGTTTGCGGCTCACTTCCAGGTAAGAAACATTTATAGTATATTTGCCCACTCATAGTCTCAATCTTCTATCGTATGATTACGTTTCACCACTATTTTGCAATATGCCACGACTTCATGAAAACCTTTTCAGAATAGCCTTTTTATTCATCATATTATTCTCCGGACTTAAACAGATAACTTAGTTTCGCATGATTTTTTAGTCTGCAACATTACTCCGTTATACGTAATTTGCGATCTGTGAAGCCCTTCAATGCAGGTACACACTGAGAGTTCTTTCTTCCGACTAAGGCACTAACGGTGGGTTTGTGGCTAATAAACGTAAAACTATGTAATGGCAGAATGCGATTAATGCAATTTTGATGTTTTGAAAAATTAGGTGAAACATGCCATCAAAACCATATTTCGCACTCTTAACTTACCGGCAAAGGCTAAAAGAAAATGGAAACAAAAGTGGTTGAAGCGTTGAGAAAGTCTATGAAAATCGACAATAGCGGATCAGCCGTTGGTATCTTTCAGAAGGCAGGAGAAATGCGTAAAGTTAGACGGAAGCACAACCGGTATGTTAAGATATATGATCGTGACCGTAATTCTGTATGTCAAGTTTGCAACTGACTGTGACTGGTCTATGATATGTCACTACTTTAGAGCAAAGTTAACAATTGAGATCCTGGCTCCACGCAACCGCAGCTCAACTTCTCTTCTCAAACGTTTGGCAAACTCTCGCATCTCACTGTTCAGCGATAGGTAGGCCAAGCTATTGCACGTTCCTGAGACAATTTATCTTACTTTACATATAGCAGAATTTGACCATTTACCTGCACATAATAGCCCAACTATGTAAAAAAGTCCCACTGTCTTAAAAAATGAAAATCCCGCTATTCTGAAGAAACCAGCGGCCACACTTGGCAGCGTAACAAAAAGCAAGGAAATAATCAAAATTCCCAGTGATATCCGATTTCCCTACAACATACATGTTAGCTAAGCAATAAACAAATAGGACTGTCTCTTACCTGCTTAAATCCACTTGACTCTTTACCGAGAAATATTTTTGCAACCCTTAACCGTTTTTCAACGCGGCGTAGTTTTACAAGAATCGTTGTTGTCAGTATAATAACGCAACTTCCCATGAACTAAATTGAATAACTCTTATTATTTAGAACTAGTAAAACAGCTCATTCACCATGCTACTCGTTCCCCAGTAAAAACGGAAATCATCTTGCAAGAAGCATCCTAACGCAGGGCAGTTGGGAACTCTGACAATAGGTGAGCTAACAAATTCAAGCATGAGATCCCAAGCAGCGAATAGGAATCCCAGAAATAGCGAAAATGTTGCAAAATAAATAAGGGGCAGCTTGCGATAAAGAAGTGGTGAGAATAGAGCCTCAAAAAAGTATAAAAAATTTTTGAGCGAAATTTTGCGTCATCAATCTCACCAGATTGCGTTCGATTGCAATTGCAATAGTTAATGTTAGATTGACTTT